GTACATGTAGCATTGCTCATACTTTTAATGCCACCTCATACAAAGTTGGGGAACTTTGCAATTTTCACACAAACATATGTTTTTGTACACGCTGTGTTAGAAACTGAGAGGAACATTATCTTATCTCTACTCAATAATTTGTTTACTTAGGTAACCATGATGTACGAGGATGGTGCACAAGTTGATGCAAAGAATGTAGGAAGAAGAATACTCGATAAGGTCCACGAGATGTATTCTTCTTCTGATTTTAATGGTAAATATTTTGCATATGACGGTGACAAGAGTTTATTTACTATTGGTTCTCTACCACGAAAAAAACTTGAGTTCACTGTTATCATCGACGATGTGTCATCAAAAAGGTATTGAAACTTCTTATCCATATATTTGTTTTTAACCCTTAACATATTCTGAAATTCTTAGTTTTCAGTTTTTTTATCACTACTTTGAACCTTCTTAAGAAATTACATTATAATATGATGAGATATTATTGTTTACAGGAGACTGGAAAGTGGAAGCCTTGGAGGAGAAGGTAGCCCAAATGAGGGTGGTGATAAGAAGAGGTCTCGTGCATTTTCTCGTTCCAAAACATACAAGGTTGCAATAAACTTTGCTGCCAAAATTCCAATTCAAGCGATTGCAAATGCCTTGAGAGGAATAGATACTGAGCATTTTCAAGAAGCTGTGAGAGTACTGGATATCATGCTACGACAGAATGCTGCTAAACAGTAGAAATCTTGCACGTTCTCTTAATTTTTGTTGGGTAATAATGGTGTGCTCAAATGAGTTCTTTGTTTACAGGGGTTGCCTTCTAGTCAGGCAATCTTTTTTTCACAATCAACCAAGAAACTTCGTGGAGATAGGGGGTGGTGTCGTTGGATGCCGAGGATTTCATTCGAGTTTCAGGGCAACTCAGGGAGGTCTCTCTCTCAACGTTGGTAAGCTCTCGATTGCAGTGCATATTTTATCAACCCTTTTGCTTTTTGAACTTTTGTTGTAGAAATTTTAGACCGCCTTTTTAATTGGCAG